CCCCCCCCGCCCCTCCCCTCCCCTCCCCCTAAACCAAAAGACCCCCCTCCCAACCCCACCCCAAAAAGCAACAACAATGAAACAAATAAACTCACACACACACACAAACACACACACACACACACACACACACACACACACACACACACCAAAAAAACCCAACCCAAAACAAATCCCAAACATAAGACTGCCAAACCTCCCCCGCTGTCATCTGATGCTGCTGCAGATGCCTGTTAGCCACGTACGGTGACCAGTCAGGGGTCATGGAGGGGTCATCTCTGTCTCTCAACAACACTGGCGCCAGTTCACCATACAGGCCCTCGGCCTCGCCAGGACGCTGGAAGCGAAGGTCCAGGCTCCAGCGGATTTGTTTCCCCTTGTTGGGGACACTGTGGGAAGTAAATAGACCCTATAGCTGACTTCATTCTTTTACATTGTCCTTTTTATCAGTTAAACGCCCCTTTCCAGAACATGAGGTTATTTAAGAGGCGAGACATTCCAATTTCACGTCGCTCTCCGAGTGTTTTTGTTTTGTTTTGTTAGTTTTGGCGCTGATTTAGAATTGCCCATTTCGGCTAATAAACAAAAAGCAGAATAATGTTTACTCACTAAATAATCGACAAGAAATTTTTTGACGGAGACCGTTTTCCTCTCAGATTCTCAACTGTTTTTCCACCGTCCCGTAGTTCTACTTCCCACAAACACGAGATTAAATTCTTTTTTAAAAGACAAGTTACAATTTGCATAATCCACTGCTGTGATTGAAAGCAGGTTAAGCAATTTAATGCAGGTATTCACATAGCATACAGTCCGATCATGCGCAAGTTTATATGAAAGAATCACTTAAAATCTTCACGCCTCATGCTCATTATAGTTCATCAAAGATTATGTGAGATTTTTTAAAAACCAAAAAGGATAGTTACTTTAAAAGATGTTAAAATAATATTATTTTTTAAAAAAAGAACCAGAATCCAATGTATTTAGTTTTAACTTAAAATTGAAGTTCTAAAGTAAGTTTATATTATTGCGAATATCAGCCCACTTATCTTCTTATAAAACTGATCTGGAGGAACACAAAATGTGATTGGCCTATCTCACCTTCTGTGTGGCACAAGATTGTTGAACAGGATGAGAGAACCTTTGTTGATGGGCAGTGTTCTTACGTCTTTCTCCAGGCTGATCTCTGGGGAGTTGTGTCAGCGAAAGACAGCATTTAAAAACGTTGCTGTTTTGGAGAAAGTAGGAGGGGGTGGGTGGGAGAAACAGTGAGAAAGAGACAGACAGAGAGAGAGAGAGAGAGAGAGAGAGAGAGAGAGAGAGAGAGAGAGAGAGAGAGAGAGAGAGAGAGTGGGAGGGAGGGAGAGAGAGAAAGAGAGAGAGATAGAGGAGGGTGAAAGGGGGCGAGAGAAAGAAAGAAAAAAAGAAAGAAAGAGACAGATAGATAGATAGATAGATTGATAGATAGATAGATAGATAGATAGATAGATAGATAGATAGATAGATAGATAGAGAGAGAGAGAGAGAGAGAGAGAGAGAGAGAGAGACGGAGAGGAGATAAATAGACCTACAGTACACCAGCTTCAGAATCAACCCCTTTTGTTGTGGGATGTGTCTAATGAACAGGATCAAAGAACGTTTTTTTTTTTTTGCGCGTATGTTGTGAACATATTGTTTATCGCAGGGTTTTTTTTTATCTGCGGCAGGGGTCCTATCTGTTGCACGTTGTTTTCAAGAATTATTTTTGTCAAAATTCGAATTGTAAATGCTAAAGAATGGAAAAAAGAATGTGTGAGTCTTCAGGTGGGAAATCTAGTCATGATGGAGATACTGAAGTTAGACTATTGACATCGTTTTCCCTGGTTTAAATATGAATAGACTTTTAATTACAGTATTTCAGTAAGAATAAGTCATCTAGTGCATATCACTCGTCTCTCTGAATCACGGTGGTCTTGCTGTCCAGAAATTAAACACGACAGAAGCTTCAATAAGCTGGCTGATTGATTTATTGCTTTACACTTCTATAGACACGATTGAAATGAATGTGAGGGTGGGTTGATTCGACCCTGCCTGTCGGGGCTAGCCCGAGCTGAGAGGGATACGACAAACCAGTTGACAGATAGAGGTAATCGATAAAATAGCGCTCGTATGTAGGATTCGCACTCATCTTTTCTGTGCGTCATGGCTTAGAACTTTACCATTAACCCCCTGTCGGTATGGCTTCGAGAAGCCAGTGGTTGTACGAAGGCATTCTCATGAGAAAAAAAAAACTTGCTAGAGGAGTAAATTTTAAAAACCCCATCAAGAATACAAAAAACGCAAGGATTAAAACTTGCTAGAGAGGGGGGAAAGTATAAAGAAAAGCCCGAGACTTTGGAGTGAGGAAGAAGAACAACTTTCCCTCATTCCCCCTTCTCGTGTGTATAGCTGGGGCCTCACAGACATCAGAACGGCGTATAAAGTACGACGACGGTTCGGTGTTTCTGTGTCTCTGAGATGTTTTGACCAGTTGAGCCACAAGAGTTTGCCCAAGTGTCCTGACCCCAGGTTGTTTGGCAAGTTTTAAAGGTCACCGGATAATGAAGTTTATTTGTAGATTCCACCTTTTGAATGATTGGCCATACTATGTTGATGATAAATTGGCCATACCATGTTGATGATAAATTGGCCATACTATGTTGATGATAAATTGGCCATACTATGTTGATGATAAATTGGCCATACCATGTTGATGATAAATTGGCCATACTATGTTGATGATAAATTGGCCATACTATGTTGATGATAAATTGGCCATACTATGTTGATGATAAATTGGCCATACTATGTTGATGATAAATTGGCCATACTATGTTGATGATAACTGAAAGGGACAGGAAAAAGGCCAAGACGGAGTGGGTTTTTTAGATTTATTTTGTTTTTTTTAGAAAAAAGTAAAAGTCACCAGAACATTATTGACTGCCTAAGATATTGAATTTAGGACTTGTAGAATATATGTATATATACATATATTTATCCACGTCATTCCACTAGCGCTAAAAACATTACAATTTGCTGACCTTTTACGACAAAAAAGAAAAGAGAGCACCAAATTCAGACAACGACTTGGTCACTCGTTATTATTCAATTAAAAATTAGGAAAGAAATTATTTTTGAAAAAGCAGAACGAAACTATAAATTAAAAGATGCTCCTTCTTGGTCTTTATTTGAATAACAGCTTTTGTCTGGAAATCCACAAAAATAATATGTAGATTTGGGTGATTATGGGGGTGGCCCTTAAGGTATGTTGAAACTACAGGAAACGCAAACACATTATCCAAACTGTAAGCTTAAATCTGACAGTGACGTCATGACTCACCCAGCGTGTCCTCCATCTTGCTCTCGTCCAGCATGACGTGCCAGGTGTTGGCGAAACAGTTGAGGTGGTCACTCACCTTGCCCGTCTTGTGGCCGCCCTCGATGATCTAAGGCACACGATGACAAAATATGGCAGACTTCAGAAACAATCAAAATTTCAGCTTTGGACAGTTGAAGAAGCTTGGCGATACGGTGATATGTACCGAGGCGGACAATCAAAAAAGAAAAAAATTGATATACTGTATTCACAAACTGTCAATCATCAGTGTTGGGACAAAAAATCAAAAGAGAGAAATTGAAGCTCTGTTAGCTCGATAGGTGAGGGGGGGGGGAGGTTGTGAGAGGTTGGTTCAAAGCTGTCTCTAACGAACGGACAATAGCTTATACGTTTCGTGAAACTTGAGAACGGGGAGGGCAGGGCCGTTCAAAATAGAAACACGTTACTTTCTGGATTTCTGTAACCTTACACATAAATTTATCTTATAAGTATTCTCTCTCTCTCTCTCTCTCTCTCTCTCTCTCTCTCTCTCTCTCTCTCTCTTTCTCTCTCTCTCTCTTTCTCTCTCTTTCTATTTCTCTCTCTTTCTATTTCTACCCCCGTTCCCTCTACTGTCTCTCTTTCCACACACTTTCTGTATCAGATATTTAGCTTTTTTCACTTTTTAAAGTTGGTTTTATTGTATTATCGGCAATGGTATCTCTCTATCTCTCTCAGCCCCCCCCCCTCTCTCTCTCTCTCTCTCTCTCTCTCTCTCTCTCTCTCTCTTCCTCTCCCTCGGTCTCTCCATCTGTCTCGTTTACTTCTTTTCCTTTTTTTTTTCTATCCACAGGTCCTGTCACCCCCCTCCCCGTACAGACGTGCCCCAAATAATAATAATAATAATAATAATAATAATAATAATAATAATAATAATAATAATAATAATAATAATAATAAGAGATAGCATTTTGTATAGCGCAAATCCCCGCTCAACAGCAAGCTCTAAGCGCTTCACAATCTCTATACTATTACCCTGAAGACCTGAGAGCCTTGTGAAACAACCTCAACTTCCTCGGAAGCATATCATGCAAGCAGCCTTTTATAGGCGCTAAAACACTAACATAGGCCTACTGTCAAGATCTCTCGCTGTCTATGGCCGGGTACCCATTCCCACCTAAGTGAAGTGAGGAAATTTCGTGTAAAGTGGCTTTTTCCCAATGACACAACGTCGGCCCCGCGACTCGAGCCCCCGAACCCGCAACATCACGATTACGAGTCTGAGAGCCTAACCATAAAGTACACCCTCACCTGCAGACAGCCGTTCTCCTCCGTGACGTCCAGAAGAGGAATCCAGGCCACGGGCAGGAGGGAGGTGTAGGACGCCGGGTCAAAGTAGCCAGAGTCTGCAGCGGAAAAAACCCAGATCGGAACAATTAGTTTAGTTTTAGTAAGAGTTTTACGGCACTTGCAATACAATAGGGTCATATACGTGCCGGAGATTAGAGGTGTTGCAAGAGAGTAACAAACACCCAAAAAAATAATTAGGAGAAATCAAGACGATAGATATTTGATAAGAAAGAAGGAGCACCCGCCAACCATCCGCAGGAAGAGTTAGATTTTGAAGTAGACTAAATAGGTCAAGGTATAAGAGGGAGGGACGGTTGTCAGCGACACTCCATGATTGCTCAAGTCAGTTTTTCGTGGTTTCTAGACACTATTCGAATGGGGAAGACATCAATCTTATATCCGTTATAACCTTCCTAGTATTTAAATTGAAAAAATAAAGAGTGCACAACAACAACAGCAACAACAACGACAGCAACAACAACGACAGCAACAACAGCAACAATAATAATAACAACAGCAGCAGCAACAACAACAACAATAAAATCAAACAAGCGACCACAAAAATCTCTATTGTCTGTTCACCTTGGTGCCACGGGATCTCTCCATCAGGATGGTCTGGGGCCTTGGGCCGGACGTTCCAGATTGGGTTGGCGCAGACTTTGGGCCCCAGAATTTGCTCCATGAGGTTCAGAAGCCGCTCATTTGCCCACAGATTCTGGAAGGCCTGTGACAGCAAAACAGTGTGGGCAACTTAGCTTAACTACTTGGTTCATGTACAATTGAGGTTTTTTGTTGTTTTGTTGTTTTGTTGTTGTTGTTGTTGTTGTTGTTGTTTTTTAATAACCTACAGAAACCAGAAGTTTACTTCTACCGAGAAACTCTACCTAAATGTTCTCCCCACTTGGAAATAAACTTCTACACCACATAATTATGCCGCTACATCAATCAGGTCTGATGTTTCTGTTTGTGTCACTAATATAGTAGTAATACAGGACTGTTTGCCCGAAACGCTTGTGTAGATTAGTCGTGGTCTAATCATTGCTGTAAATTAAGCTATAATAACTCCTAACTTCTCAGCGTATCTAAAATAAAACGTACGAAGACTGACTTACATCGGGCAGAATGCCGTCTTTGTGAGCCAAGATGGCGGCTCCGGGGAACTGCTTGTCTATGTAGGTCAATCTCTGAAAGACATCTTTGTCTTCGTGTAAATCTGAAACGGTGATGTGAATAAAACAAACCATAGATAGATAGATAGATAGATAGATAGATAGATAGATAGATAGATAGATAGATAGTCGTGCTGAACAAGAACTCCCTTAAAACGTTCGATGAACGCTTTAAAGTCTCAACCCAGTATCCATTATAAAAATGCTGGTGGCAAAGAAGAAATGATCGCCCAGATCAGACACATGTGGAGCGCCCTGATTCTTGGTGGCTTATATCCAGTACCGAGGTGAAAGAGGCCGATGATGATGATTATTATTGTTATAATACTGTGGTGTCACGGGACATGACTCTTGTCTTTACTGTGGGAACTAGATAATTAGGGGAGTGGCACGCCCTTGGATGACGTCAAGAGTCCAGCGCCAAATATAGAGACATCGTCTGAGAGACTCACTGAGGTATTCAGTCGAACTCAGGACCACGACGAGACAACACTTATCTTGGACGGGGGCCCCCTGACAGACCCGACTCATCGGACCGCCAGGTAACTTTACATAATACATATTATTTGATAGATTGTTTCTCCACATAATAATAACGATGTCCCACCCTGCAGTTTCCCAGCCTTGTGGATCCTGGTGGCCACACGATCCACTATCTCCTCCACAGCCGTCAGACAAGGGTTGAGCTCAGTGTCGGTGAAGAAATCCTCCACCACGAGGAATCCCTGAAGACAGGGCAAGAGAAAAAAATTATATTACATTCAGGGACTAGAAGACAGGAATTAAAGGTCAAGAGGCATTACAGAAAAAGATTTGTGGAAAACAGGAGACGTTTGTGCTATTGAAGCATTTTTTTCTCTCCAACTGAAGAAATGTTTCTATTTCTTTTATTCAATTATGAGACGGAAAATATGGTCTTTCCTTACGGTTTAAAAATATAGACTCAGAAATCAACCATCATTTTTTAAAGTTAAGTAGACATGATAAGTAGTCAAAAGAACGAAAGTATCAACAAGATGATCGTGACAAAAACTGTTTAAGACAGTGGAACCTGTGTAAAACGCCCTCCCATTGTCATAGAGAAAAGTGGCCGTATAACACAGGTGGCTGTCATGGCAGGTTCCACTGTATTATATTTTTAGTTTAACAATACTCTAATAATTTCGTCCAAAAACATCTAAGTTTCCGGATGATGATGATGATGATGATGATGATGATGATGATGATGATGATGATGATGATGATGACGGTGATGATGGTGATGATGGTGGTGGTGGTGGTGGTGATGGTGGTGATGGTGATGATGATGATGATGATGATGATGATGATGATGATGATGAT